TGTTTCTCTCACATATTCTCAGTCCTCTCCTCCAGCTGCTGTTCTGCAGCAGTTTTTCACCCTTTCTTAAATACATTATCCCAGAGGCGCTACCACTGTCGCTGATGGGCTTGGCCTTGCCTCGGCCTGGGCCAGCAGCGGGTCTGTCTTGGAGCCGGCTGGCATTGGCTCTATCGGACATGGGGGAAGCTTCTGGCAGCTTCTCACAGACGCCACCCCTGTAGCTCCCCTGCTACCAAAACCTTGCCACGCAAACCCACTACATTTTGTTTCCATAATTGCAAACTATGGAGCAAATTGGGAAGAAAATCTCAAACTGAAATCTTTGAAGGGAAGGATGCATCATTAAATGGGTATAGCTACTTTTGAATTGCTTTTATTTTCATTTTAAGATGATAAAGATCCTTACTGCAGCTACTAATTTTAATGTCAAAAACCCCCCAACTGGACTGTAAAATAACTGCAATTCCCAAAAGTTTGCTGTGGGTGGAAATAATAGTATTGTCTAGAACAAGAAATATAATTGCTGTACTTGGAAACAGCAGAGTCATTAATATGCAGAAGGTGTGCTCAGGCTGAGTTGGAGCTTTGGGGTTTTTTTTTCCTTGGAAATAGGAGCATGTATTTATAACTTTAAACAGAAGTGGATTAGCTTAATCCATAATTACTGGACCAGAATGAGTAAAATTTAGTAGATCTATGTATTTCATTTTACCTACTGTCCAAGCTAGTTTACGGGTTTTAAAAGTTGCATGTTTTCTCTGGAAACAATCCTTTCTATTTGAAAGAAGTATTTGTTTCCAGAATGCATTCATGTTCAGCAGAGAAATGATCTTAAAGATCCCAATTAACTCTGTTATAGTTTTCCTTCATGATAGAATACGATGTCTGAGATCAGGAATCTGGCAGGATCAATTCTATCTGATTAATTTAAGCAGACACTGAAACACCATGCTGCTTTAACACTGAGTTGTTTTCTCAAAGGAAAGGCTCTCTGGCTGTAAGATCTATATTTATTTTTACACTAGTGCAATCTACAGTTAATTGCCTACTTCCATGTCAATATACCCACAGTGAACCCATACACTTTAAAAAGCCAACTGCCTTTGGTGTGTAATGTATGGTTCATTATTATCCATATGATTTCTCACCATAAGGTGAGATAGTCCTTTAAATTAACCAAAACTCAGATTTTCATGTGCACATGTAGCTCACCTTACCAGTCTGAAGGAATAAATACCTTCATTAGCTGATGAAGGTAATGCAATTAACACCTAAGCCTGCTATACCAGGTGTCAATAACTAGAGTTCAGCTGAAAGTTTCTGGGGAGAGCAGACCTGGGGCAGACTGCTCGACGGAAAAAACAGAGGAAAGCTAGTGAGGAGGCTTTTGCTGGGCAGCTCTCTGAGGCTTCCCAGGATGGGTCTGACCGAGAAATCTGTGGAGAGTGGTCGCCTTTTAAGAACATGCTCTTGGCAAAGGGAAAGGTTGCTCTATTTTGGATTTTCTCCACAAGACTGGGCTGACACAGGGGGGGTTGATCAGCAATGGGGGCAGCAGCAGACTGAGGCAGCAACGGGGAAACAACATCAAGTGAAGAAAAGTACCAATATACTCATGGTACTCAGCTGTCCTCTTCTGCGTTATAGCAGAGACTATGTAGTGCCTAAAGTGGAGCGCCCTATGCCTAAGGCGGCAGACTCTTCCTGGATCATAAAATAATGATGAGGCTTGGCCCTGTTTTTTTAATTCTTAAGCCATCAGTCACCTGTACACAAGAAAACTAGGCTAATTTTTTTTAGATGTTTTTAACATGGCTTCTATTTTTATTCTTACAGTTTCTACCTGCAATTGATTGCAGGTTCTAATAGAGGCCATGTTTTGAAAGCCTGTCTGTAAAAGCAGGGGATCATCATATGCTTTAGTGCCTTAATACTTCTGAGCAGCACCCACTGTTCAAAAGCCTCGTTATGAGAAAACAGGAGTCTGAAGCACTGCTTGGAACATTTTGTGAGATGGCATTAATACCCTCTCAGTCTCTGAAAGGCTTTTCTTTTCCTTCAGTAAGATTTGTGGTGGCTGATTTGACTCTCTTCCAAATACTGCCTGGGGGGATGCTAATAGGGAAGGAAATACTTTGTAAAGGGTTTTTCAGAACTGACAGCTTTGAATTCTTAGAATTAGTAATTCAAGCCACTCATAAAGGGAATGTGGAGCATGCCATTTTCACTGCATGTGTAAACACAGAGCTGAGATACTGCTACAGTGGGAGAGAAAGAGCAGAAAACCTCGTAGGCTCAGGATCCTGTTGGAAAAGCTGTGAAAGCAAGAAGGATCCCATCTCCTTGTTCCTTCCTCTGCTTCCCAGTTCACAACTCAGAACAGGACAAAGGGGTAGAAAAAAAGTTGGAGCATTACACTTAAAACTTGAAATGGGAGTCTTCCAGGGGTGTTATTAATAGCAAATAACTGAGCAGATCAAACTTTACGTTTTTCTTGTTCACTTGCTTTAAGATGCTCTGCATTGAAACTTCTAGAGTCCTCATCCATGACCTCTTCTGCTGTTCAACATCCACATTTCTCTGTGGATATTCAGAAAGGAACTTACTAGGTCAGAACCAGCGGTTTGTTAGTTATACCACAAATCCCACCTTTCCTTAAAAGGATGGATTTTGCTTATAGTTAAGTGCTGGGGATGGGGAGTCCTGGGAGTTGCATGTGCTCGGTCTCCTGATCTGTGTTGCATTCCCACACAGCAGGTTATTTAATCTAATCTCTGGAAATGTACACAGCCATTTGTTTACTGTATTTGCATTCAGTAATCAAGCCTTAATGAAAATTTGCAATAGTCCAAAGATATAAATAAATATTGTGAAGGATTGGTAGAGCTATTAATGGGAAATGTAAATTCAAACTCCATTGAGAAATGTGTATGTATCAGTGGAAAGGCTTATAGTTGACTAATCGCTGGCAGTGATGCAGTTCATGCCTATTAAAATTCAGGGAACATATGTCGTAATAAATCCATTATCATCACTCTAGCTGACTAGGCACTTAGTGCTTGGACACTAAGTAATTCTTCAGTGGGCAACGTGTAAAATCATGACCTAGTGATATTGCAAATTGTAACAGAGACTGGGACTTCATAAGCCTCTACAAGTTATACGTACCTCTCTCTGACTTAATTTTACAGTTTAGGGACACGTGGCTAAAACCTCTTGAAGCTTTCAAGTTCTGTATGCAGAGAGGGGGAGTGGAAGAGATAATGTAATTGCAGAGTTTGGTGTTCAGCATGGGTAGGACAAGATCCCAGGTTTCTTACTTTGACTCTGTTGCAGGTGGAGAGAGAGAAGGCCATTCTCCTGGCCAACCTGCAGGAGTCTCAGACGCAGCTGGAGCACACCAAGGGAGCCCTGACTGAGCAACACGAGCGAGTCCATAGGCTCACGGAACACGTCAACGCCATGAGGGGGCTGCAGAGCAACAAGGAGCTGAAAGCTGAGCTTGACTGTGAGAAGGGCCGAGATCCCAGTGAGGAAGCACACGACTATGAAGTGGACATCAACGGCTTGGAGATCCTAGAATGTAAATACAAAGTAGCTGTTACTGAGGTGATAGACCTTAAAGCAGAAATCAAAGCCTTGAAGGAGAAATATAATAAATATGTGGAAAACTACACTGAAGAGAAGGCTAAGTATGAGAGCAGAATCCAGACGTACGACGAACAGGTGACAAACCTGGAGAAGTCGACCAAGGAAAGCCAGGAAAAAATGGTCCACATGGAAAAGGAGTTGCAAAGGATGACAAGCATAGCAAATGAAAACCATAATACCCTCAACACCGCCCAGGACGAGCTGGTGACGTTTAGCGAGGAGCTGGCTCAGCTCTACCATCACGTCTGCCTGTGCAACAACGAGACGCCAAACAGGGTCATGTTGGACTATTACAGGCAAAGCAGAGTCACCCGCAGCGGGAGCCTGAAAGGACCAGACGACCCTCGAGGTCTCCTTTCCCCGCGGCTCGCCAGAAGGGGGGTGGCATCGCCTGTAGAAGCCAGGACCCCGACCGAGCAGGTGACAAAAGAGGCCACGGAGCCTGGCAAGGAACAGAGCCCGACAAAAACACCTACCATTTCTCCTGTCATCACAGCCCCTCCTTCCTCCCCCGTCTCCGATACCAGTGACATCCGCAAAGAGCCGATGAACATCTACAACCTCAATGCCATAATAAGGGACCAAATCAAGCACTTGCAGAAGGCTGTCGATCGGTCGCTGCAGCTGTCGCGCCAGCGTGCTGCAGCTCGGGAGCTGGCGCCCATGATCGATAAAGACAAGGAGGCCTTAATGGAAGAGATACTGAAACTGAAATCACTCCTGAGTACGAAGCGGGAGCAGATCGCGACCCTGAGAGCAGTGCTGAAAGCCAACAAGCAGGTAAGATGCTAATAAAGCGGACAGTCGGGAAGGTCTATTATTTATACAGGTCACTTACAAGCTTTCCCAGGAGTATTTCGGAGGAGAGATTTTATTCACAGGTTATTTAGCCTCTCACTCAGTCACGGTGAGGGCAGACCTTTCTTCCCTCCCTCCCCACCTCCTCTTTAAGCTCTCTGGCTCTGCTTTTCTCAGCACCCACCACTCACCAAGGGCACAGGCAGAAGAGCCTTTCCGGTGGAGCGAGAGAAAATCAGAGGGGCAGGGAGGGATCAGCTACCACCCAGCCTGATGCTCGGGCATGTTGCTAGTATTATTGCAAAATGATAAGATTGGCAACATCGGAAAACAAAACAGAGTGTGCATGGAGAGGGTCTCAGGGGCGTGCTGACACCTTGCTCCACTGCTGGAGCGGTGGGGAGGGCAAGCGTAGAAGAGACCCCCTGGGCCAGCACCTCAGCAGCTGCAGGTGGCCCTGCTGGTGGGATGTAGTGGAGCAGATGGTGCAAACAACCCATTGCGTTCTTCTTGGCTCTTGGTAATAGTCCACAGGCTGCAAAACTTGAATGCCCCCCAGCAAATTTAAGGGGATTAAAAATAAATGCCGCAAAAGCTAAAGTGGGCCTCAGGAAGAGAATGGCAGGCCTAAGAGCGTGACCAGTGGTTTTGGACCATACAGAAGCTGGGCATTTCTTTGATAAGACAGCAGATGAAATGCTAAGTTATTTTCATTACAGGTGGTTGGAGGTTTTTTAAATTATTTCTCTTTTTAGTCAGAAATACTTTCTCCTGCCATTGTCACGTTTTTAGTCCTTCAAGAAATAAAATCGAGGTTTTCTTTTTTTTTAAGAAAAAGGACAACATCGCTACATGATAAAGCTGACTGAAACAGTAACTACCATTTTTTATTTTGAGAAGGATTTGTTATAAAGTTATATTTTAAGAGAATAAAAAATTTCAAATTATTATTTTGAAAATTTTCACAGCTTAAAAAAAAAAAAAATCATCAAACCACTTTATTTTTGATGTTTCACCAATGCAAATAAGCTAAGAATTACCACATTTTATATCAAATGCCAAAAGAGGACCATGTAATGGTGTGTTTTTCAAGAGTACTGTCAATTTTTTTTGCATAGTAAAATCCTCCCTTTAATACCCATTAGATTCCAGGTCTGCAAACACTTAAAGTTAAATTTAAGCATGCAAATAGTTTTATTTACTTTGGTGCATCTCCTTATGCCCAGAATTAAGTCTGAATGCAAGAGGCTGCAGCGGCAGTGTCGTTCCAGATTGCCTGGGACTTTTCTCATCTAAAAGCAGCGCAGTGATCACCACGTGGGGGCATGAATCCTGGTTAACTGCTTGGGATACTATTAGCTGATGACAGTGATGGGATTTCAGTGTTAAAATTCCCAATAGTCAAGTAGTCTGGAATTACAGTTTCAAGTTTAATTGATTGTTGGATCTGTAACTGCATTTCTAGAGTACTGGGGATTTTTAAATTGCAGCAATATTTCAATATGCATTGAGTCTTTCATAGCATTTCCCCCCCTCCAATACAACACGTTAAATATTAATTCAAGTAATTAAATACCACCTCTAGCTAAGCAATAATTGCTCTGAGCAATTATATGTGGATTTTCCATGTAATTAAAATGTAATTAAAATGTAATTGAGGTATATGGGTTTAGATTCCAAATTAAAGACTTTGTCCACTAGCATAGAACTATCATTTATTTTTTAATACTACTAGAGAATCTAGCTCAGTCTTGCTCGTTTATTGCTGTCAGAAATAAAGCATCATCCTAAAGCATGCTCACTGAAACGGGAAATACAGATTTGCTGAATAAGGAGGTGCTATTAATTAAACTGTTATTTATTGGACAGCAGCATAGATATCGGTAACTGTGTAACTGGGTATAGAATCTTACAATACTGTTCATGCAAACCCAATATCGACATCCTCAGACTTTCAAGTTAAAAGACATAATAAAATAAAAGGATAGGAGAAATTTAAAGTTAGAGAGAGGGGCGGTGAGTTTTATTATGTGCTAACAGATTCCTCCCCTTGAGTCCTTCCCCTCCAAAATAATAATTTTTCAAGCAGTAATAGGCTTGGGGATATTTTTCCCTTGTGGGTTCCCTACAGAGGACATCTGCTTCAGTTTTTCACACGTGCTCCAGAACCACAAGAGCTAGAATTTTGATTTGTTAAAAACCTTCCTCAAGCCCTAATGGAGCTGAAATTAATACGAAATTACAGCTATTCATCCCTTACGTAGCACGGCAAGACACTGCTGGTGCCCGAGGCGGCAGGGGAGAGCTGCGGCAGGCCCCTGCGAGAGGGGGCTGCAGCTGGTGGGGGGCTGGATGCCCCGGCCCGTCCGCGGCCTCCGGAGGCGACATGTCGCATCTCGGCGTGCTTTGTCGCCGTGCTATGACAGAACACCTGTATCTGTTAGCACTCCAAACAGAGACACCTTAGGTGAAGCTTTTTTGGTTGGAGTAACGTGGGAAAGCAAGATGAGCACAACCAAATGCACTGTAAAAACGGCAAGACCTGGCCTTCCTAGAGAACGTCGCCATTCAGGCCCGGGGGAGGGGGAAGACCAGCAGGCCCCTGGCTCTGGTCTTTCGGGCTGCGTTTCAGCAGTGAAGTCACACCCTTAACCAGGGAAGCACGGGTGCTATCTAGTGACCACCAGAAGTATTGCAACATCAGATTAAACCGAGAATTGCAGTTTTCCTGGCAGTGCGCTTCCTCGCAGTGCCCTGACGTTCTCTGTTATCCTGGTACGCAGGGGCAAATGGTTCATCGGCAGAGAAAAAGAAGAGAGTGTTTTGCCTCCCGACTTGAATTGTGTTCACTTCTCTTCACAGTAACTTACCCGACTGCCGGGGAGCCCCGGAGAGGTCCCTCTTTCTGCCTCTCCTGCTGCAGCGGGGCTGGCACTCCAGCAGTGCAGTTGCACCTTTTAAATCTTTAACAGCATACAATAAATTTCTGTTTGAACCTGACAAGATGTTGCCTAGTTTAATGTATTTGGCAATATCTGATGATATTTCCTTTTAATCTAGCTATATTTTCTTTAGTAATATTTTCTTATAAGCACTAAGCATTAGGCTGGGCTGCAAACAGAATACACAAAACCCTAATAACACAAAAAAGAGAGCAAGATTTGCTCCAAGAAGCTGCAAACCTAAGCCCAGGAAAATGGATTATTAAATCAATTGTTCAAGATCACAAGGCACATATATCTTGCTAGCTTGCTTTCTTACCTGGTCTTGATTTTTATGTACCCATTTATTCGTAGCCATAATTACTGTGTCAGTACCAGTTCTGTGGAGCAAACCCAAGTAGCATTATCATTACCAAGTAGCATAAATTGTAAAGTAATATGAAATTAATGATATAATAACTTTTAGGCCAGTTGAAGAATGGTTTTGATTTTGATTTCTAATAACATTGAAAAAGCAAAGCTGCCTATGAGGGGAATTTAATATCCTGAAGTTCTGATTGAAAAATGATTGGAAAATAAGGAGGTGATCGGTGACAGCCAACATGGCTTCACTAAGGGCAAATCGTGCCTGACAAATTTGGTAGCCTTCTACAACAGGGTTA